GTCTTCCCTGGGCCCCCAAGTTCAGATGACTAAGAAACACTATTGCTATTTTCCTCACTATCCTCTTCATTAGAGACCTCCACTCCTGTCTTCTAAGTCGCTCCTAGAGGGCCAAAAAGACAAATTAATCACCCCTTGATTCCTACCCCCCAGAGTCCCAGGACATATGCACACACCTAAGGCAGTATTCAATGAAGTACTGTACATAGCTTGTTTTCCTGGAAGGTTAGGCCAAAACTGGACACTTCCTACCTTGGAAAGTGGAAGGTGCCCTGGAGTATAATTCCTGTTTTCTACCAACAGTATCTCATTTAATCCTGCTGACCAGCCAATGAGACCAGATCACTATTTTAGGTAAGTGTGTCTCACCAATGTAACTGGTGGAAGGTCACATGCTGGTGAGTGGGAAAGCATGTTTCTAGAGTCGGATCGCCAAGTCCCACGCTCCTACCATACCCAACTGCTATGTCATGCATGGGTCTCCAGGGCTGAAAACTCACGTTAAAGACTATTCCCAGAATCAGGGTGTCTGAGATGCTAACAAGCAGGGCAGTAACGAGAACTGCTGGAAACCTTATGACATCATCTGGGTGATTGTTACACACAATGCTACCCAATATAGCAAAAACAATTCAAGCAGTGCTGCAAACAGGCTTCAACATGGTTATATATTTTTAAAAATCGAATATACATATTTTGAATCTATTTGGCTCTACCCTCCAAAACACCCTCATCATTTAAAAATTGTAATTTGACACAGCATAAAAGTTTTGAAACTATTTTTTCCTTATTAGTAAAATAAAAAAAAACCCCAGCAAATTATGAAGAAAGGAGCCAAACTGGATGCAGATGTAACTACATGACCTTGCCCTTATAAATGCCACTAACCTGTTGGCCCTGTGCTTTGTGACACAGGAAAACCAGGGCTCTCTGTCACAGCAACTTAGCAGCCAGGCACAGACCTTGTAAAGCATCATAAATAACATCTGATGGTCTGGCTCTGGGGACCCTGACACTATGGATCACCCCAACCCCACCCCACCCCACCCCACCAAATCAACTTGTTTTCATATCACACACAGAAGCAAAATAACGAAAGGTTTTGGTGTTACTTTACCTATGTGGTTTTCCCTCCAAAAACTAGAAAGACTAGTTTTTGGCCTTTGGTTTGAGCAATTCTACTATAACCTCTATAACAAACATTCCCAGAGCTCAGCCCCAGACCCTTAAGAAAGCCCATAATAAATCCCCCCCCACCCAGTATTCTCTCCACACAGCACATCCCAGGGTTGTACTAAGCCTCAACTATTCTTCCGCCCCAGGAGCTAAATACTTTGAGTCAAAGATCTTTAATTTTTTTCCGCTTCTCCTTCCTTCTTCCAGTTATGCCAATTCTATAGTACCCATGTCCTCAAAGACACACCCTAGCTCTCTTCCAATTCAAACCCAGTTTTCCGTCCATTCTGTTCCTGGAGACCAGACCAACTGAACAGAAAGCCTACAATTAGACTAAACCACTCAAGTCAGGGCATCCAGCTGGAGTTGGTGCCTGGACACAGCAAACTCTCCCAGTTTGGCCTCCTAAACTTAGACCCTCAGTCATTTGGCAAAGTCCTTGTAACACCTTGGGGTTTTATATGTGTTCTGCATATTTGTGTGACCGGATGCATGTAGAAGCCAAAGTCTGGCATCAGGTGTCTTCTTCAACCACTCTCTACTTTATTTCTTCTTCCTCCTCTCTTTCTCCTTTCAGATAGCGTCTCACTGAGTAGCTCTGGCTGGCCTGGAATTCGGAGATCTGCTCTTCCTTTCCAGTGCTGGGATGAAGACAGGGGACACCTTACCCACGTCTACTGCATTTCTTGAGACAAGGTCTCTCAGGGAGCCTGAAGCTACCAATGAGCTCCAGGGATCAACTCCAGAGATTTCTGCCTCTCCAGAGATGGAGTTCAGACATGTGCTGCCATGCCTGGCACCCTTTGGGTTTCTTGGAACACATCTTTGAATGGTTTGCTTTGCAATGACCTAGAAATCCAGAAGCGGGTACTGACACACAGGCACAAAGGTGCTCAGGTTTGTTCTTCTCTGCACTGGATGGTAGACTAAGCATCATATATTCTATAAAAGACCTGTATTCTTGACTGCCTACAGATTTCACAAGACCAGATGCCATGCTTCCGACTAAGGATAGGGATGGAACCTGGAAATCTTTCCTTGGATTGAAAGAATGCTTCAGGCTAAACTCACTACAGGTTGGACCTCCCTAATCTTAGAATCTGAAAGACTTTGAGAAACTGAAACTTTCTGAGCGCCAATGTGTCTCCACAAGTGGAAAATTCCACATCATAGAATGGTTTCTCTCACAAAATTATTAAAAGCAATGTATAACATGACCTTAAAGCTATGGCAACAGCACAGATTGTTTTCAGACCTGAGTCTCACTCCTAAAATCATCTAATTATTTATGTGCAAATATCACTGTATTAAAAACAAGCAAGCAAACAAACAAACCCCAATTTGCCAGGTAGGGTATTTTCCTGCAATCTCAGCATTCAGGAGGTGGAGGCAAGAGTTAGGGTCACCCTCTACTATAGTTAGATGAAGGTTAGCTTAAGCAATAAATGGCCGTCTTAAAGTCCCAAATAAATACCTCTTGTCCCAAGCACTTTGGATAAAGGTTATTCAACCTGCATAGGTAAAATACTAACTTGTTTCCTTTGGACAGGTATTTTGGTTTCCTGCTATGTACTTAACCCAATGCCAGGCCACAGAGGATAAAGAGGAAATAAGCTGAGAGAGTCTAGTCTGGGGCCAGGCTCCTTGAGTTTAATTTTGGTTGTCCCACTTATTATCAGGGCCCTAAGCCAGCCCCTTCACCCCTGGCAGGCTGCTTCCTCCTGCATGGAACAAGGATGGAAATAACACCCTCTCCATAGGTTGCCATACAGATACCACGCTAAGGCAAAGAAGGCAGTTAGTCTACTGCCCTCGATGCCCACTGGAACTCCATAAACACTGGCTATTATTACCCCACAGACCATCGACTGCAGAGTCAAGTTTGGCCTAGAGACCTATTTTGTTTGGCCCGCACATTTTCCTTTTCAATCAAACCAACATTTAAAAACGGGTAGATTTTTAGACTAGGTTGGATGTTTGGCAACACACATGAGAACCTTGGCTTCTGGCATCCACAACCCAAGGTGAGGGCCCTAGTCACTCTTTTGATAACACCCAGCTTTTCTCTCTGTAAGCACAGCTCTTCCTGACTTACTCCTACCTCCCATGTGACCCTTACCTCAATTGTTCACGAAAGTAACAATCCATATTCTAGATCAATCCTTCCTTTTTTTTTTCTTTTTTGAGACAGGGTCACTTTAGCCCAGACTGACCTGGAGCTCTGCAATTCTACTTACATATCCAAATGTCTCATCATTCCCCAGACTGAGCAGTCCAACTGGTGGCCCTCATGCTAACCAACTTCCTGCTTCCCTACCATGGGTTCAAGTCTCCTTAGCCTAGTCAAAAATGTTCAACAGGCTGGGGCATTAAAGAAGCTAAGCTTCTCTCCACCTGGCCCGAGGGTCCAGCATGTTTTCACATTGTCTGGGGCATTAAAGCAAAGCCACATCTGTATCTTATCCTCAGAGATTGTTAGCCAGTATACGGCCCAGGTGTCTGTTGTTTTAATTTAAAGATATGGTCTCATGAAGATGGGGTGGCCCAGGCATTTACTGTCCTGCTTCTACTTCCCAAATGCTGGAATTCAAGGTATATGCCACCAGGACAGAATTCACCCAAGAACATTTTAAGGTATACATGGATGTACTCTCAGACCAGCCAGTACAGAAACCATGGCCTCTGGATCTGAAAGCCCAGTGAAGTCTAGTGACTCTCATACGCTCCACTGATACTTCTTGTGTGCATCGTACAAAGGACAAGATGAGTCGTGTTACTTTCTGACTCTTGTTTAGTCTTGCTTGCAGATCGACTTGTACTTAAGGCTTGTCTCCCCAAACAGACTGTAAATTCAAGAGTGGGCAGATCCCCCACCATATTCTTCTTTTCTATCCCCAACAGAGCTAACGGGGAGCCAAGCCCATCGTAGGCATCTAATGACAATGCTTCTTCTCAAACAGTTCATTCCACAAACAAAAGGCTGAGAGTGTATGGAGAACCAACTACCCTGATATCTGGGCAGGAAGGTTTGTTTGTGAAAGCCGAAACCAAGAATAAATCAAGTATAAGGGATTTATACTGTGATGTGCCAGGAAAAGGCACAAGTCATCTAGGGAAGTTGTTCAAGGCTTGGGAAGTTGGGGGGGGGTGTTCTGCATGAATTTTCTTCAGGTGGGTTGGAAGGAGCAGGGCAACAAAAGGAAAAAGACCAGGGTAACCAATGCTTAAGAGGGCAACCTGTGTCTACCCAAAACACCCACAGGGGGTATCCACGTAGCAAGTCAGGGAAAATAAGGCAGGAGAAATCAAATCAAGTCTTTACCATACCCCAAAGCCAGGGAACCAGCTGCAAGTCACTTGGTTAGAAGGAGCTTTTCAAGGCTGCAAGTCTAAGCCGCTAAGAAGAGGCAGAGGGAGCAGGGGGAATAGGAAGAACGTGAAGTGAAGAACAAAGCAGACTGTGGCAGCACCTATCTGTGATCTCAGTGCTGGGGAGGATCAAGAATTGAGACCAGCTAGATAAAGAACTGCAGCTAGATAAAGAACTGGAGGCCAGCTTGGGCTACTGAGACCATCTCAAAACCAAAACCAAACACAGAACAATGAGAACAAATGGCTCAGTGGGAAGGTGAGAGGCCTCTGGTAAGCAAGACACATGCCTGGCCCTCACTTACAGACCCAAGGAATCTCCAAGTTAGTAAAAACTCAGTATCCATGATACTCCAGTTTCTGAACTAGTCTTAGACCATGGCTTTCTGTACAGACATGAAATTATGTTAACAGCACAATTAGCATTCCTTGTGCCATTTCACCAACATGTTCCATCAGAGAAATAAAGGTTTTATTCATAACATTTAGTACTGCTGATTGTACTATGACAATAAGAAACTTATTCTTCTCTTTCTCCTCCCAAGTCAATGGGCAGCTTAGAAAGAGGTAACAAAGACCAGGGGCCCAGTGATGGCAGTAGGCAACATCCACTGTAGGATACACTCCTCCCCCTCCCAGGAACCATCATTCTTAGAGGTGTAAATGGTTTGAAATGAACACTAATGGGTAATGAAAAAACCAAGACACAGAATACAGTGCAAGAGAAGGCCACAAAGGGCCTGGCAACTCTATCATACCTCTGTGGGGCACTGGATCAAGCACTTCCCAGACATCAGCTCATTTCTTCTTCCCCCTTGTGAGTACTCCCCCACCCCAGAAAGATGAGCAAATGGAGAAGGTAGCAAATGGAGAGTCATACAGCTAGCAGGTGGAGGCAGAAAAGGAACCCAGGCAACTCCAGCCACCATTTAACTTTATACCTAGCTGTCTCTCACGCTGCCTTTTAGGAGGAGTGTGGCTTTTATACTCATGCCACCATCTTTGCACAGAAAGGCCGAATGTGGAATGGCAAAGGTGATGGTCTAAGACTTGAGGATGCTGCTCCGGTTATGTTTTCCCGAAGTCCCACCACAGGAAGGAGTGAAACATGCAGGCCCTGTCTGTGTTCACTTCCTACATCCAGGAGTTCATAGCCACACACAACAGATCACGAAACTAGGGCAGGATGGAGCTGTTCTCAGCAATCACTCAAAAGCATGCTAGAAGAACTACAAGGTTCTCCAGGGCAGACTGGCAAGAGCTGGCAGGGAAGGCCAAGGGCATTCACCTCCTCCAGCCATCAAATGTGCTTCCAGAGGAACTCAGCTTACTGATAACGGGACTCTCATCAATTGCTACTCACGGCTCACAGGAAGTAGGCCCTTATGCACACAGGGGACCTTCCTGGCTTGCGGATTACAGATAAACAGATACCCCTGTCCCAGGGCAGGCTGTGAGCTGCAACCATGTTGGATTATGTTTCACTTTCCGGCTTCAGAGCTTGAAGCAATTCTATTTTTAAGCTTTCTCGGTTCCACAAGTAAAATAAGGTCATTTTAAGGAAATGAGCTTTGGCTTTAGATAACTTCCTCTGAAAGAGTTAACTGATCGGCGGCTTTGACACATCAGAAATCTTCCTGGAGCTAACCACAGAGGAAGAGCCTCTTGGTCAATGGTACAATGCAAAGGCCCAGGGAACCTTGCGAAACCGTGTCTGTCATTTAGGATGTGGATGGTTGAGGGTACCTCCTGTGATGTCCCTCTCCCAAGAAAGTTTCAAAGATCCTTTTAGGCTGTTGTTGATTAAGTAAAATCATCTCTCTCAGGGCACTAGAAATGTCACACCTAAAAAAATAATTTGAATTTCAAACATCAGATCAAGCTTAAAAAAAAAAAAAAAAAAAAAAAACCACTGCTACCACTATTTAGGAAAACCTGTCATTCCTCTCCATTTAAAAGTCCGTTTCACTGAGTGTGTACAGCAGCCTTGATTTCTTAGCATCTCTGGGAATAAGTTGTGACTTCAGAGCTGGTGGTTCAAAGTGCACTTCTGATGAAAACTTAAAACGTTGTCCACACACCTAAGTCTCCCATGTAGGGCATCTAAGACCATTAACCCTCTCCTCACAAAAAGAGCTGATAAGAAGGCAAGAATCTCCAGTTTCAGTTCTGGCCTGCCCTCTGCTGCCTTGTGACCTTGGCTGAGCAATGTAACTTGCAGTGGACCTTTAATTGTATCACCTGCAAAAGAAGCCAGGTTGGATAATAAGAGCTACGTATTATAAACTCCCACACTATGAGTCCCAAACCATCACATTTACCAAGTAGTGAATATGCTAACCTGAAATATTGGCATCAAGTTATAAGAATGCTGCATGGACATTACAAATGGCCCCAAACAGTTGGGCTACCGAAGAGAAAGCAAACTGAAATCACTCATTCTTTTTTATCTACTGGATTCAATCAGCTATCTTCTCACTGGCTTCATCCTCAAGCTAACATCGCTCCTGTCTTACATTACAAAGCACAGCCTCGGCCTGGTACTCAGGGTCTCCAGCAAAGTTAAGTTTATGGGGACCTTTTGGATTCCACCCTGGCTTTACCACATCTTCGCAGTTGCAGGTAAGTGTGGCCACAAGACCGACTCCCATTAAGGCCGGGTAGAAATACATTCTTACAACTTAAATATTTGAGGTGAACATTTAAGGCAAAGGTATAAGATGAAAATAAACTAAACATTCCCCCCTACTGGAAAGCCACCTAAATAATCCCACAGAATTAACCCTACCCACACCTTGCCAGTCTCTTGAGTGGCTGCTTTCTGGTACCTTCTGCAGTATATCCCTTCTCTGTGTGAGAGCATTTTCCCAGGCATTCTTAGAGGGCAGACAGGATGGAGAAGGAAGGTCCTACATCTGTGGTTTCCCGTTTATCTGGTCTTTATTCATAGTCCTGTGAAGTATTACTGGGCGGGGGCTCTTCACCAACTGTAAACAGTTCATGAAACACTATTTACAACTGCTAACAACCAAGAAAATACATCAAACCACATATTTGTACCTCAAAGAATTCAGGGATGTTCCCTTCAGCATGGGGGGCAGAGGTGGAAACTGGAATCTTTCTTCCTTGCACTATTTTCAATTATCTTCACAGACCTTGGGGTACTCAGTATATTAAGTAAATGGTCTTCACCCATCCTGATTAAAATATTACTAAAAAAAAAAAATAGACGGGTAAAAAGAATTGGAGTTGGCTGGCTTGGGGCAACGTTTATACCCAGTCATATGGACTATTTATATAAATAATCAGGGTAAGTTGGAGAAAATAGCCAATTGGAAGGGACTAAAAGTGTGTGTGTGTGTGTGTGTGTGTGTGTGTGTGTGTGTGGTCTCACTGGAAATGACAATAGAGAAAAGTAGGGGAAACTGCTTTTTACTTCTAAGACACAAAATACTCCCCCCACCCCGCCAGTCTTTTCACTCCCCAGGTGTTGGTATTTATTCCTAAGCCCAAGGTAGACAGATATTCTTTTCCCAAGTTAACGTTACACCACACGCTGTTAAACTCCACAGACTCTGTCCTTCTTCCAAGTATTATACAAGGTGGCGATTTTTAGAAAAATCCACATTAAAAAAAATCCTTTCCTGTTCTCATGCTTGGGTGCTTTAGCTCGGTTAAGGGTGCTTTGTTCCCAGGGATGATTAGGGTGGCGCCCTCGGTACTGATTATAGTGGAGCTATTTGTCCTGCCCACGTCTGGGCATTGCATTATATTAAAACTTCCATTTTGGGGTATGTAGTGACTAAAAATTCTCTCCCAGCTTCAACTTGGCATCCACCATACATTTCTGTAGAAGCAAGATTACTGCATACAGAACCACAGGAACCCACATTTTTCTTCTTTCAAACTTGTTCAGGAAAAGAGACCCTGCTGAAATAGCATCTACAGTCTTCCATTCTCAGATGAGATTTATTAGGCATGGAGGGCTCCTTTGAAATGTATAACCAGCAGGTTGCGATGACTGAATTAAAGTCAATCTGACGTGATAGGCTACTGCCTCTTGCATTAACAGATTCTCAATTTCCTGGAAGAATGGAATTACATACCACTTTAGATCATTCTGTTCATATAGGTAAACAAAGGGACAGTTATGTATGCAGCCCCTGAGTTATAAAAATACTTGATTTATGAAGACTAATTTTATGGAGCAGCTACTATTTGCCAGGCCTTGTACTTAAGTATTATACATGTATTATCATATTGCTTTTTAAAAACCTCAAAGTTAGAATTATTACCTTCCTATTTTGTAGAATAATGAACAATTCTGACAGATTAAGTTATTTGTCTAACAGCAGACAGCTTGTAAATGAAGACAAGAGGCTACAGTTAATGAGAAGGCAAGCCACTTGCTCTGTCAAGCTCTCAAATGTTCTGGAGTCGGAACATGAAAGTAGACCCATGTGGGTCTAGAACTCTGATCACCTGAAGAATCTCCCACCTCTTCTTGAACATATAATGTTTGAATAGTCCTATTTTGGTTCATTTGACACACCTTCCCAACCTTCATGCTCAGGAGAAAACATCAACAGAATCCCAAAACACAGGGTGGTACATGTCTTTAATCTCAGAATGTGGACACTCGAGTCAAGATCAGGAGTTCAAGGCTACAAGAGACCCTGCCTCAAAAATAAAATAAAATAAATTTCAAGACTGAACAGGAAGCCTACTGAAATACTGATAAGAAGAAAAAAAAAAATCAAACATTGCCCGCAATACTGAGGACTTTGTATGCACTTGGGAGATAAAACTTCATACCCCTCCCAGAAGATACAGCATTGAAATCGTAGATTAACCAGTGATTCAGCATACATTACAATCTTACATAAAATGACTTTTGAATATGTATAAGCATTTATATCCCTATAATGAAACATTATTTTTAAGTATCCAAATTCAAAACAATCTATACTCCTGGAATAACTTCATGGCAAGAAGGCTAATAAAGTTTAGAAACAACTTGCAAGACAACGAAGGCAATATTTTTGTATTTTAAATACTTAACTACAGTGAACTACACATAAATCTGGTTAGACAGTCTTGGTGACCTGGTCCAACAAATAGTCTAAGTTTTTTTAAAGAGCAATTTAGTAGTCTCACAATTTCCTATTATCAAAAATAACGTTCCCTGCAAACCTGAACCTAATCCAAGAAGCATGTCAATAGCCAGTTGTTCCAGGTTATTTATGAAATAGGAACCGATTGTGTAGGGGGAAATAGGGTTTCTGTATGGCCAAGCATGTTTAATCAAGTCCGAAAAATTATTTACTGCTAATGAAAGAATGGAATATTCTGTGCCTGAGAATCTAGCACACTGGATACTGAATGTGTAAGCAGGTACTGTACTCGGCTTCCCCCCTGCTGGCAGACCCTAGTCACTAAAAGGATGAGCCTCTTTTACTGGGACTGTATCGCACATCCCCAGTAAGTATCTCTAGGCTGGAAAGCACTAAAGATCCAACCCAGGGCAAAATTATGAACAGAAAGAGAATTTTAAAAAATTAATTATTTATCCACCCACCCCATTTCCTAAGTCCTATATATGTGCACAGACTTTCTTCTTAAGACCCCAGCGAAATATTGATTGTGCAAAACAAACACATCTAGACCTAAAGCTAGGTGAGGTCCTCGACTGGTATTACCATGCAACCACAGATAGCTGAGTCCGGGTGGGTTCTAGCCTGGTCTGGGCCAAGCCTCAACACGAGGGTGAAGACAGGAGGCATGGAGGAAGGAATGCAGGAAAGAAAGGAAGAAGGGGAGACCTCGGGGCCACACTTCTTTCTAGTAGCAACAAAAAGGGAAGCCGCATACTGACCTAAATCATCTCTCAAAGGCGCTTTATAAATTACAGGGACAAAGGGAGGGGGTGGCGGGTGGCCTGGGAACCCCACAGACACCCTACCCTCTGACCCGCCCCCTCCCCCTTCAGCACAAGGGAAGCAAGACAGAAAGCAGCTCAACTCGGCCACGGGCGTGAAGCCCTCATCTGGGTTTCAATTGCCCATCCATCCACCCCCCAAAAGAAACACACGTAAACACTATACCCACCCCTGGGGCGGCCACTCCCGCCCCGGGGCTCTTAGAAGCGAGGCCTTGGATTTACTTAGTTAGATTTTTCTTGCTTACTCATTTCCCTCAAGCACCCAACCCCCCGTTCCCACTCCAAAACCCCGCTCGGTCCCCCCTCCTCGGCTCCGGGCCCCCCG